GCAGTGGGCTTGTAGTTGGAACAGATAGCTCCTGCCCTCACAAGAACTAATAGGCTGTTGGAAAAAATGTGGGAAGAAATGAGGTGGGTTTTTATGTGTGGCTGTGGAACACTAGAATGATAGGCTTTGTAAGGAACCTTGGAGATCATTTAACCCATCCCTTCTTTTTATGGCAGAGAAGAGGAAACCCAGAGAGGTGAAGGGATATACTCTGGTTAGCAAAAGAACTATTTTCAAAGTTGCCTCCTGAGACCCGGTCCACCTGTTCTTTCAACTGTCCTTGGCTGCCCTCTGTCTCACCTTAGACTGAAGAACAGGAACAAATGCTCAAACTGAGAGCAACCCTCTAAATATAGGTTGCCTTTGACAGCAAGGAAGTACCACTGAGACAGCAAGTCATCAAAAGTTGCCCAGGTCACAAACAGGAAGGTTTCGAGGAGGGTTTGGCTAGATTGATAGCTCTCTGCTCAGTAACGAGCTACAGCAGGGACAGGAATAGTCTGTCCAGAGTTCAGCTTTCTCTCCCAGAATTAAGCCCACCACAAAAAAAACTCACCCCCAGGCACCATCCCGGCACACAGGAGGCTCGGGAACAACTAATTTCATAAGTGATAAGTGAGTGAAAGCACCTGGGCATTTCTTATGTTCTTAGCTTGAGAACAGAAAAAGAAGTCGTGACTGGTGGCAAAATAACTGAGTGTTTCATTTGCATAGCTTGCTAGAGCATAATTATGGTCTCCATTTGAAGGACTGAGGAGGAGGCCAGGGACTGTGCACAAGGGAAACAAATGTTCTTCAATACTTTTTCAAGTAAGACAAGGTCCAGCTAAGAATTCAGTTCATTAGACCTCTTTCAAGGCAAGGGATAGTGATCATTTCCAGGTATAGTCGTTTCTGAACCTCCTCAAAAAAGATGCTCCTATTTTTCTGAGATAACTAACAAAACAAATGCCCAATTGTGTCTATAAGAGAAATGTGTACATAGAATATTTCTATTATCAGAAACCCTCAGGTTAGGAAAAAGAGGCTTGTAAAAGTTTTTGTTGGTAGTTCAGAGGTTAACTGTTAATTTTTATAACTCAGATACTTTGAACATTTTTTTAAAATGACTCAGGTCTGGTAAGTTATTGATATGACAAATAAATGGGAGCAGAACTGTCTTCAGTGGCCTGAGAAGACTCCTGCCAGTGTAGAAAATCCTGCCCCAGCTACTCAGTGGACTCTCACTCATCTCCACACAGCACGCAGACACTGCTCGGCACACTTCATCGATGTCTGCGTCCTTATCTGGGGGGTTTAAGACTTGGAGACTAGCTCTTCCAAAGCCACACCCTTGCTGGTTCCAAAGCACCAGCCACACAGAGCCGTCCAAGAGAGGAAAGGTGGGCATGCTGCTTTCTTCCACTTAATTCAGATTTGACCATTCAGACTAGACATCTTCAGTTATTAACTGTAGAGACTGAAAAAGAGCGCAACTTAGACAATGACTTTGTTTTCAAAGTAAAGCACATACAAAACCCAGCAAGCCTGTATGAGGATATTCACTGCAGTGCAGTCTATAACAGCAAAAGGCTCACACCTGTCCACCAATGGGAGACTGCGAGCCCTCGGTGAGAGGAGTTGTGTGTGCACTACTGCAGAGAATGAGGGAGCTCTGCAGGCACTTTCATGGAACAATCTCTAAGAAACATTGTTTGGAGCGGGAAAATCCAAGGGGCAGAACTATTTGTATGAGCTCATCCTATCTGTAGTTAAAAAAGGAGGTCTGTGTACGCATACAGCAAATTTCTAGAAGGACACACGAGAAACTAGCAACAGTGGTGACTCTAGAGAGGAAGCTGGGCGTTGGGGGTGGGAGGAGATCTTCCTTTTCCTCTTCTGTACTGTTTGAAGTTTCCCTATGTGCATTTATTATTTATGCAAAACTTAAACAAAATATGAAAGCTAAGAAAACATAAAACAAAACATGGTCATGTATAGATCAAACTCAATATTTTCCTGGTAGAGTGATAGGCGGCAGCCTCAAAATTATTTGAAAAATAACAAATAAGGCTTAGAATACAGTCAAGGTCATCAAAACTGAGTGCCCACCCCATATGACTCCTCCTTGTGAACATGAGGAAACCAATACTCAGAGAGCCGGTGAGTTAGTCAAGGTCTTAAAGGGGTCGGGGACCTAGAAACCAAGTGTCCTAACTCAATCTAAGTGTTCACAATTCCACCTGCCACTCTGTTCCCTGGAGCTGTTCCACTTTGAACTGTCACTGAACCTTCTCTGAGACTGGAGCTTGTGGGTGGCAGTTGAGGTTCTTTAAAACCACTGCTTTTGTTAGCCACTCAGAGACAGTGCGGTAGAGGAGGCCAACACAGAGACAGAGAGGAGGCCCGCAGGGGCATGGGAAGGCGAAACACCTAAATTTGTGATGAACAAAATACAACTTGGGAAAATATTCCAGAACATTTTAGGGAAAGAAAA